TAGCCTATTTAAAATACTTTTATTTCATACTAAGCATAGTTCAAATCTATTAACATATTTACTGACATATCAGGACCAGCCAATTCCAGAAATAATTTGGGATCCCAGACAAGGCCAATAATGAACTTCACAATTTTGAAACGCAGAACAAAGGCGCATGACGAATACTGAATCAAGCTGTAATGGAATGTCATGAAGCCCTGCATTACGTGATGACTGGAGCTGTCACTTAAACAAAACCGCTTTCACAGCCTTCATGGCCATGTTGTGATTTTTACTGATTTTCTGCCCAAATGTTTGATGGATATTATGACTCCTCCTGATGACTTTTAAACTCCATTTTCAAGCGAATAAAGAGGGCATGTACAATGATAATGAAATAAAGCGGGGGGAAAAACAAGGCACAGTTGGAAACTTTCGGTTGGGTGTATGAACATTATTTCTGTAATGTGCTGTGCTAAAAAACATTCTGAGAGTAAAAAGCTTTTTCTTCATTGACGACCATTCAAAAGTTGCTGCAATCGGACAAAACGGACATTTATTTGCATGCAACATACTGTACACTACCGTTCAAAAGTTGTTGTTGTTTTGGAAAGAAGACAGTCATGCTCAGCCAGGCTGCATGTATTTGACCAAAAAAAGACAGTAAAAACAGTAATATTCTGAAATATTATTATAATTTAAAATAATTGTTTTCTATTTGAATACATTTTAAAATGTAATTTATTCCTGTGCTGCAAAGCTGATTTTTTTTAGCATCATTACTTCAATCTCCAGTGTCACATGATCCTTCAGTAGTCATTCTAATATGCTGATTTGATTCTCAAGAAATATTTGTCATTATTATCAATGTTGACAACAGTCGTGCTGCTTAATATTTTTGAGACAACCAAGATGTGATTTTTTCTTTAAAAAATAGAAAGTGCAAAATAACAGCATTTATTTGAAATAGAAATATTTTGTAACATTGTAAATGTCTTTACGGTCACTTTTGATCAATTTAATACTTCCTCACTGAAAAAAAAAACCTAACTAACCCTAGTGAAAAAGCCATATAGCCTATTTAAAATACTTTTATTTCATACTAAGCATAGTTCAAATCTATTAACATATTTACTGACATATCGCTTGAGACTTACTGATATAAAAATGTTAATTAAACTTTATTTGGAGTACTACTTGTGCACAGTGCACATTTCTTAAAGTGGTCATATGATGTTGCTAAAAAGAACATTATTTTGTGTATTTGGTGTAATTAAATGTGTTTATGCGGTTTAAGGTTAAAAAAACACATTATTTTCCACATACTGTACATTATTGTTTCTCCTCTATGCCCCGCCTTTCTGAAACGCGTCGATTTTTACAAAGCTCATCGGTCTGAAAAGCGAGGTTGAGCTGTGATTGGCCAGCTATCCAATGCGTTGTGATTGGCCGAATACCTCAAGCATGAGACGGAAATGATACGCCCCTCACCATATTGTGATGATGCCCCGTCAGGCCGGTGCGATGATTCAAAAACATGAAAACCCATTACAAA